ACCAAGTGCATGTGACCCCACCCCCCACCCCAGTCACTGCAACAACATAAAGGGAAGAGAATTTAAAAAAGAAAAAAAAGATGTTCCTCTTCAGTAGTCATTGGGGAAACATAAACCACAATGAGACAACACTTCCTACCCCCTGAAGGTTACAATCAGTAGGGTGCAGCCACTTTGGGAGTCTGATTGTTTTTCCAAAAGGAAAGCAAAGGTGATCTAGTCATTCTGCTTCAAGGTATAAAGTCAGGAGAAATCTAAAATTCATGACTACATGCGAGTCCACCGCTTTATTATTAAGAATCACTAAGAAGCCAAAATCCTAAATATCTGCCAAATGAAGAATGGGTAAAAGTGTTACACCTATACAATGTATTACTAGTTGGCTAGGAAAAGAAATGGAGTACTGACACATGCTAAAGCATGGATTTTAAGAAAAGTATGGCAGGCAAAAGAACTGAGTCATAAGAGAGTACTTCATTTGTATGAAGTATCCAGAACAGAAACTGCACTTAAGGAATAGGGGCTAGAAGGGAACAGCTAAAGGGTACACAGTTTCTTTATGAGAAAATAACATTTTCTAAATCGGTTATGGTTATGGCTACACAGCTCTGTCTATATGAAGGACAATTCACCTGTCCTTTCAAATGAGCGATCTGTCAAGGCTGAGTTGTCTGGGACAGCCCGGAGTGGGGAGTGGGGAGCCCAGCACTTGCCATGGCAGCTGGAAAACTCCCCACTCCACAATCACGCCATGCTCCTCTTGGCTAGCCTCACTGCTCGAAACGAGCCTCGTGTAGAAATTAATCTGTTAAAAAATTCAGGTATGCAGGTCTTGTGACTGAAATCTCCAGGCTTTCACGGAGTTGGGGATGTACATATGCCTGTAATTCTGAAAGCCCCCAGAGTCACCACATATCCCAAAGCTATCATCCAGTTAAACAACTGACTCCAGCTATATCACCCCATTAAAAATTTTGCACTTCCTAGTTCTTACTCTAGAGAACCTGGCAGGCTACCAAAAGTATCCTGCCCACACGGCAGAGTCTGGCAAACTCCTTGTGGTGTATTCAATACGCCAAAAACCAGTAACAAGTATGGGTCTCATTCTCCTGACCCTGAAAGAGCCTCGACTGTGGCACTTTTTAAAATCTCAGGGCTAGGACGAAGGAGATGGTACTGGGGCCTGCTCGAGGCAATCGGCGAACAACAGGATGACAGTGATACAGCAATACAGTCTGTGACTGCCTTTGCAGTCACGTGACATCTTAAACTCTACAACACTGATGAGCGAGGAGCCACACACCAAATTGGAACGGACGTAATGGAGAAGGCAACCAATCTCAATGAACAAAATATAAACACGTAAGGTTTGAACTGTAACAAAATCTTAGTAATCTCTTATCACAATCATCCTGATCATCCTGTTGTTCGTCGACTGCCTTGAGCAGGCTCCAGTAACCTCTCCTTCTTCCTAGTCCTGAGATTTTAAAAGAGCCATTTCAATGCTCTTTCAGGGCTAGGAGAATGAGACCCATCATTGTTACTGGTACTTGGCATATTGAGTACGACACGGGAAGTTTGACAGACTCTCCGTGCGGGCAGGATACTTTCAGTAGCCTGCCGGGTTCTCCCAAGTAAAAATGAGACAATAAAATGTCACTTCCGGGGGTAATCTCTTATACAAGGCTTAATGGCTCCATGGTGAGAAACAACAATCTTCACCAATTTTCTTCTAAGGAAATATTTTTTTATCTCTCTTTTAGCAAATTATTTATAACAAGCAGTATAAAATAAATTACTGAAGGCCTGCGATCAGGATAGACTTAATGGGTTGTTGGAGAAATTTGAAATAACAGTGGCAGGAAGGTACAATGATGGTGAGACTTGTGTTGAAATACTGAATGTCTGTAACAAATCATCATGAACAACTGTGAAAATAAATAAATGGAACAAACAAAAATAAGCAAATGAGCGATTTGAATGGCACGCAGATTTCTCAAACTTATTTTCTAAAAAGTAAGACCAGACATTAAGCAGAGAAAAAGAGGCTTTTATCTTGTTCCTTTCCAGTCCAGTGCGCAAGTCACAGACCACTACACTGCACTGCCCTTCAAAATACAAATGGCTACCTGTTCTATCACCTGTTCAAATTCACACTTACACTTTCCCAATAAAGCTGTGGTAGGACATGAGACACATAGGTAAAATGCCTCCACATGTCTTCTAAAATAAGTTTTAAAAATAAAGTCTATTTTTACACAGAAGGGTGAAGGTATGCACTCCTTATAAATCAATATAACATACTGTTTAATACACGTCTTTGCCCTTCGGATAATAATCTGTAATACAGGACATATTATGCACTATGGACCATGACAAATAGAACAAAATACATCCCAAGGGAGCATCATAAGCAAGGCTCTGGTTCCATTAATGGAAAACACTGTAGAGATTTCTACTAGAGAAAAAAAAATTCATCTAAACATTGAATAACACTATTTATATGTAAACAAAATAAAGAGTAAAATTCAACACTTCATCTTCCTGTGTATACAGAAAAAAAGAAAGGAAGGTTTTAGAATGTCCAATTTCTCTATAAATCAATATGGAGCTGGTGTAATAGTACAGTGGGGATGGCACTTGTCTTGCATGCAGCCAACCTAGGTTCTATCCCCAGCATCACATACACTCCAGGAGTAATTCCTGAGTACAGTGCCAGGAGAAAACCCTGAGCATCACTGGGTGTGGCCCCAAAAAGCAAAAGATAGACTTGATGTTCTGGTTCTGCGATTATTTCCTTAACAAGGCATGTCTTCCACTGTGAAAATCATTTCTTTACTGCTATAGTTAGAAACAGCCTATGTGTTAAATTTTATCTAAAGGGGCACAGTGACTGAAGTCCTCAGGGATGTTTTAGTCCAACCTCCTCTCCCAGGGACTGAAGGGACAGGACTCTGACCTTGGTCCACTACCTCCCCCTGGTGACACAACAAGACCATAGGGGTCACAGCCCCAAATCCCAATGTCTCCTCAAGGAGTCTATGAATCTCCTAGAGGAGACTGAAGAAATTGCTGAAATTTTTGACAGCCATCACCTGCATGTCCAAGACCAAGGAAAGTTTTAAGGAAACGGTTACTGTGAGAATTTCACTCTTGATCATATAAATAATTGGTGTATCAGAGCCTAAAACAAGTATCTTGAAAGGCTTAATTTGAACCAAATGGGAGGGATGGGGGAGGGAGAAACTTTCTTTTTTTTAACTGTGGGAGAAAAATTTTCTCCTAAATTTAGATATTGTCTGGATTCCAGAAAGAAATAATTAGTAAGAATAAATTACTTTGGATATGTATGAGACAGCCAACTTTCAGAAATGGAACTTCTTTATTTTCTTTATCTGGAAGAACAGAAAAAACATTTTCGGGACATTATTCAGTCCTGAATCACCCAATAACATTGCTCCCTTTGCTATAAGTAGACGTGAAAAATGGAAGTCTGTTAGGTTTAGTTTAAAATAAAGCACAACTTCTCAAATCTCACCTTCCCATCACCGTTTCTCAGGTACACTGAAACTACAAAGGGTGACTTAAGAATCATTTAACTAGCATGAACAAAAATGCAAAGGTGCTAATACAAGAAAGCTGTGAATAAAATGCTTAGCCAAATCAAAATGTCAACCAGCATTCAAATCACAAAGAGCTGAAAAATCTTCATCAATATTACTCAATTTTCTGTGAAATCAGGTAGCAGTACCCTAGGGTGTATTTAAGTCTCAGAGAAGCTTTCTTTCTTTCTTTCTTTCTTTCTTTTTTTTTTTTTGCGGGGTGGAGGGGGTACACCCTGCAATGCTCAGTGAGTTCTCCTGGCTCTGCACTAAGGAATTTCTCCTGGTAGGCTCAGAGGACCCTATGGGAAGCTGGGGATCGAACTGGGTTAGCAGCATGTGACAAATCATGTGAGCAAGAGCCTTATGCACCGTAATGACTCTCCAGCACCTCACAGAATTTCAGGGCTGAGGGGAAAAAAAGTATTAGAAAGCATCTATGCCACGGAAGATGGGTGCTTTTGTCTGGCACAGATGCCAACTCTCGTGTGTGCATAGAAGGAGCAGAAGGAATAGCACAAGGACCCAAGAGAATGTTCGTTTCTGTTTCCCATGGGAAACAGAAACACGGATCATGCGCACTTACTTTCCACCTTAATTGCCTTTGCAAGCTTTCCTGATTTTAGTTTGTCCCCAAAAACGAAAGCTCGGGGCTGGAGCGATATTACAGTGGGGAAGGCATTTGCCTTGCATGCAGCCGACCCAAGTTCGATTCCCAGAATCCCATATGGTTCCCTGAGCACCACTAGGAGTAATTCCTGAGTGCATGAGCCAGGAATAACCCCTGTGCATTTTCGGGTGTGACCCAAAAAGAAAAAAAGAAGAAAAAAAGAACTCAGGTCCAGAGAAGCAAATGAATTTCATTCTTAGTCCAGTAAGAAGAGGCTGACCCAAGATACACACACAACCAAGTCTCTGACTTCCAAGTCTCCCCCATTCTTGTGGGGAAAAGGCAAAACTCAAATAAGAAATTTGCTCAGCAAAGAAGAGAACAGCTGAACTGTTTATTCCGAAGAATGCTTGAGAGGAACTGCTTAGTTCCACAGCCGGCCAGACTCAAATTTTCACAGAACTATCCTGTGATTAATACCACCACCCTCCTGCTTAGCAAAACGTACCTGACATTTCCTGACTAGAGATTAGGTATCACAATGTAGCTGCTAAAACTTGATTGTAGTTTAAAAAGGGGAAAAAAGAAAACCAGAAAAGGAGAAAGTGTGAGATTGAGACCAGGTACTAAGCAGGCCTTCCACTGTTCACTTCAGAAATGAAGTCACCACTGCAGGAAGAAAAAGTTGAAATACTTATATTCATCATCTTTAAGCTGGAAAGAGTAAACAAAGCTCCTGATACCACAGGGGGAGAAATATGCATGTGGGAGAAGTTATCGATTCTTACTTGCTCTAATGTAAGCTGCTTAGAAATCGTATCATTCTCCAGTTTTTTAATTTTCTTCATCAGTTTGTTGACCTGGAATTCCTGCTCCTGCTCAAGGTGTTGTTCGAGTTCGGCTTTCTCATGCTGCAGCTGGAAAATGAACAAAGATGGAGACGTCAAGATACTCAAAAGCCATAGAAACGCAGGTGACACGAAGGAAGGGACACCTGCACACAAGTGTAATAAAAGCCATTTCTTCCAATATATCCAAATATACACCTAGTAAATTTTTCCTACCTGGTGCTTCTAGCTTACAACCAAACATTACGGTATAAAGTCATAGGCACTGCGTCATTCTTAACCCAAAGCCAAAAACTGAGAAGGCAAATCCATACATATGAGCTTCAAGCCACAATTGAAAGCAGATTTCAACTTTTAGGGGGCCAGAGAATAGCAGGTACGGCACTTGTTTCGCACACAGCTGCCCGTGTGTGATCCCCGGGATCCCGTATCACTCCCAAGCACCACCAGGAGTGATTCCTGAATGCAGATTCCCCGAGCATTGCCAGGTGTGGCCCCAAAACAAGCAAACAAAAGAAAATCAAAAAATCAATTTTAAACATATACATGGTTGCTTCTGTATGGAAGTTCTGAGAGGTTAGGGGACAAGGAAAGGATGAAAACTTTTCAATGTCTACTGTTTGGTAATTTTTAAACAATGAATATAAAAATTAGTATTAAGGAAAAATTTCAGCTTTAATAACTGAATTACTTTACTCAGATTTACATACGACTCACAGGGGGGAAGAGATCAGTAATCCCAAAAAAAAAACTTAGTAAATTATTATTTGGGTTCAGGGTTCACTTCTGGCAGGACTTGAGGAGTCATGTGGGGGTGCTGGAGATGGACCCCAGCTTGGGAACATGCAAGGCAAGTGCCCTACGCACTATATTATCTCTCTAGCCCCGATTCTTTTTTTTTTTTGATTTTATTTATTTATTTATTTTTTTACAGTTGTAGATTTACAATTTTTTTTTTGTGCTTGGGTTTCAATTATACAATGATCAGATACCCATCCCTCCACCAGTGCCCGTTTTTCACCACCATGGATAATATCCCTCCCACCCCCATCCCCCCCTGCCTCTGTGGCAGGACAATCCCCTGTGTTCTCTCTCTCCGTTTGGGTGTTGTGGTCTGCAAAAGAGGCATTGAGTGGCAAACATGTTCAGTCCATAGTCTACTTTCGACATGCATCTCCCCTCCTGGGAGGATCCTCCAAACATCCTTTATTTGGTGCTCCCTTCTCTATCTGAACTGCCCTTTCCTCTAGGATATCCGGCTGGCCTCTAAGTTATGGAGTAATCCTCCTGGTGCTGATCTCAGCTATTCTTGGGTATTAATCTCATACTTTGTTACTTTATATCCCCCAGATGAATGGAATCTTTCTATGTCTATCCCTCTCTTTCTGACTCATTTCGCTTAGCATGATACTTTCCATATTGTACCACTTGTATGTAAATTTCATGACTTCATCTTTTCTAACAGCTACATAGTACTCCATTGTGTAGATGTACCAAAGTTTCTTTAACCAGTCATCTGTTCTTGGGCATTCAGGTTTCTTCCAGTTTCTGGCTATTGTAAAGAGTGCTGCAATGAACAAACAAGTGCAGATGTCACTTCGACTATACATTTTTGCTTCTCTGGGATATATTCCCAGGAGTGGTATTGCTGGGTCAAATGGGACCTCAATTTCTAATTTTTTGAGAATCGTCCATACTGTTTTCCAGAAGGGCTGAACCAGTGGACATTCCCACCAACAGTGAAGGAGTGTCCCTTTCTCGCCACATCCACGCCAGCATTGGTTGCTTTTGTTCTTTTGAATGTGGGCCAGTCTCTGAGGTGTGAGATGGTATCTCATTGTGGTTTTGATCTGCATCTCTCTGATGATTAATGATGTAGAGCATTTTCTCATGTGCTTTTTTGCCATTCGGATTTCTTCTTTGAGAAAGTTTCTGTTCATTTCATTGCCCCATTTTTGGATGGGATTGGATGTTTTCTTCTTGTGGAGTTTAACCAGTATTTTGTATATCATGGATATCAACCCCTTGTCAGATGTGTATTCGGCGAATATCCTTTCCCATTCTGTAGACTGTCTTTGTATTTTGGTCACTGTTTCTTTGGAGGTGCAGAAGCTTCTTAGTTTAAGATAGTCCCATTTATCTATCTCTGTTTTCACTTGCTTGGCCAGTGATAGCCCCGATTCTTAATACTATTTCTAGTAGACGAGTAGGCATGATTTAGCAAAAGTAAGCAGAATATGATTTTTTCCAACTTGCTATGTGCTTTTTAAAGTGCACACTGATTCAAACAATTGGAAAATAGTTATGGTTGCATGGAAAAAAAACTTATTATTTTGTTATGGGGGTGGGGGGCACACCCGGTGATGTTCAGGGGGCCATATGGGATGCCAGGAATTGAACTCATTCAAGGCAAGCAATTTACCCACTGTACTAGCTCCTGGTAAAAAACTTTTCTGGCTTTATTTTGATGTATCTTTATCTTCAGAACCAAAAGGGAGTGAAAGAAATCAGTGGACAAATAAAGACTGGGAGTTCTCATTAATAATTTTGCTTTATTCCTATTATTTCTTATTGATCACACACACACACGCACACACACACACACACACACACACACACACACACACACACACACAGAGGCTGACACTGGTCTTTCAAGTGCATTAGGCTGATATATCACCCCATGGTCAATTTCTCAATACAGAGACCTCAGCTGAAAAGCAACAGTGTGAGGACACACAGATGAATCTCGGATCTGAGCAACTTGCAACAGAGATGGTCCTGGACTTTGCAAAAGGCCTTCTCCGCTGGGCTGCTCCGGACGGGGGTGGGTGTTGTCCCTCCGCCAGCCCTCTAAGAGTTCCAGCGGTCACCATTTTCTAGAAGCCAGAGAGAAGCACCAGGTATGAGTTCGCAGTGATGGCAAATCCCAAGTTTCGAGGGACAGGGGAGGAGTGGGCCCTCCTTCCCCCCGCCCCCATGGGACGCTGAGATGATGTCACATCTGCCCCCATCGACCTAAGCTCCCATGTAGCCACGATCCAGAGACACACAAACGAATCTTGGACCCCAGCAACAGCTGCAGTGATTTCTTCAGACCCTTAATTGTCAAAATCTTAGAATTCCTTGAGGGCGCGGCCGCTCACAACATTATAATATATCCATAACAAGCAATACAAAACACATTGTCTAGCATTGCATTTTCGGCAAGTATGAGGGGTGGCAGGACTGGTACTGAAATATCAAAGGTAACTAAAGTTGAGAAATATTATTTTGCAAATTGTCTGCCATACAGACAGGGGGAGGTGTGGAATGGGGGGGGGAGGAAATCTAGGGATTTTGGTGATGGAAAGTGTGATCTGGTGAAGGGATGGGTGTTTGATGACTGTATGATCAAAGTTCAAATATGAGATTTTTTTGTTACTGTACCTCACGATGAATAATAAAAAATTAAAAAAAAAAAAGCAACAGCGTATGAGTCAACTGTCTCTGAACCCCAGACCAGTGCTTGCCCACTGGGTCAATCCTGAGGAAGCCAGCAAGGAGTCAGCTTCAGATTCAGGGGTGCTCATGCCTACTGTGACCTCAGTGTGAGGAAAGAAATGGTAAGCATCTATATCCTGTCTCAGGAGTGCAGCTCCCCAGATCTCCATATATTCACAGATCCAGAAGTACATCACAACTCCTCTTGGATTTTTATGGAAGTTTCAATATCTAGGCCTGAGAGATTCAGTCACTGGGCCCTTACCAATTGAACTCAAGCTCTAGTTCTTCTCCCTCTTCGTAGGTCTGTGGAAAATGAGGAGGGGATAAACCTAGAAATTCAGTCCCCCAACCAGAAGGTTGATTGTCCTGGAAACCAGGCACCAGCCTTAGGCGCTTTAAGGTTCACTATATTCAGGTAACAAAAGATGCCTCTATTACTCTCAGCAATTAGGAGACTCTAAGCCTTTTATTTTTCTTTTAAGATTTGAGCCAGGAACTGTGCATGAAAACTTAATAATATGTATAAAAATATATATTGGTCATTAGTATGACCCAATTATAAATTACAAACTGCATTAGTGACTTTGTAAATCCAGCACAGAATGCAATGCAAAACTGAAAACTGGCCTTGATCAAATTCAAAATAGCCACACTTAACCTATTCTACATCTGACACAATTTCCAATTACTTAAACACTTGGTTAAGAGGGGTGTGTGTGTGTGTGTGTGTGTGTGTGTGTATGTGTGTGTGTGTGTGTGTGTGTGTTGGGGGGCAGGGAGGGGAGGTGATTGTGCTTGAAATCTAACACAGTTGTCTAAGACTGGAAATGTTGACTAAATGATGGTGTTTTTCCACCAACTTCTTTCAATATGCAAGTCCAAAAAAAGCTGGTCAGTCTTGCAGGGATCCAGGAAAGAAGCAGATGTAAGGAGGTGCTTACAGTGAAAAATCTCTTTTTATCTGTAGCACTGTAGCACTGTCCTCCTGTTGTTCATCGATTTGCTCCAGCGGGCTCAGTAACGTCTCCATCGTGAGACTTGTTGTTACTGTGTTTGGCATACTGAATACTCTAGTTCTTTAAAACTTCAGTTCTTCGAGATCAAGTACTAATTAAAACACACACACACACACACACACACACACACACACACACACACACAACCTCACCTTCGAGGAAAGGATAAAGAACAAGAATTGCCAGCATTTCAGATACAAGGAATAAATATAAGGGGGGAACCGGGGTTGAGGGGTGCAAAGAACAAGTACAGCATCTATCGCTTTTGTTTACATGAACAATAGCTGTGTTTCATATCTGCAGGTCTATGTAAGAGGTGAAATCTATAATCAGAAATTATCTTTGCTCTTAATTCGTTTATGAACTATTTAATACTTGATGGTTTTAGTCTTAAAACACGTAAGCTCTTTGCATACGGCTGTTTGAATGGTATCCATGTTTTCCTATAATATTTCAAAGCTTTATTTTTTTTTAAATTGAAAGACCTCCCTTTAGAAAACATTACATTTACCCTGAAGTAATTTAAGACAATGAATGATGTGCTCTAATACTGAAAACTCTCTTAGT